GCGGGAGCGCCACTGCGCTCCCCAAGCGGCGCACTGTAGCAGTGCGCCACCGGGCCGGCCCCAATTCTTTATTTTAAAAAAATTTTTACTATTTTTTTTGGGGGGTCTTCTGTGGGTGGTAGGGGAAACTGAACCCATGATCTTGGGGTAATAAGGCTGTGCTCTAACCAAGTGAGCTAACCAGCTGGCCCCATCCTTTCAATATAATTCTTAATTGGTTTATACTTCTTTTTTTTTTTTTTCCTTTTTGTCTTTTTTTCGTGACCGGTAACGGGATCGCAACTGTCAGTAACCCTAACCCTACCGAGTACGCCACCGGGCCGGCCCCTAATTGGTTTATACTTCTAAAGACACATTTGCATGATGGCAGTGACTGACAGGGTTAGGCTGTTCAGAAAATAGCTAGACATTGATTGCTCCATGTCTTGAGGGGGAACTTGTCTTTTTTTTTTTAGTGATGTCCATCTTCTTAGTTAGCACAACAGGACTTCACTTTTTGATGGCAGTCTGTTTCAAAATTCTCTTCCTGTGATCAAGACAGAAGAGTCCTGACCCTTAATGTACTCACTCTGACATTGTGAGGATGAAGTCCTCCTGGATGCTGAGACATATACTGGGCCAGGTCTGTGTGCTAAACAGAAAAGTGGAGAGAGACAAGAGTAAGTTAGTGGTCCTTGGATAGTGTCCTAAAACAGACCAGAGGCTTGACTGTCAGAAGGTATTACAAAGTTCAGAATTTTTGAGAATAAGGTGCTAAAGGAACATAACCAAGTTTTCTGAGACCCCACTGTTAAGGTCATACACAGTATGTCTTTCTAACTGACTGCTCTTAGAAGGAAACTGCTTCTTGGCACAAACAGAGATGCTTATTTTAAACGACTGGCATTGAACACGACCTAGGGATTTTTTACTCTCTGTGTGTCCTTAGAAGCAAGTCAAGTACACATATCTTATGATTTCTCTCTGCTTATTTGAATATTTTTTTCCTTTCAAAAATATACAATGAGTTATTCTTTAGTACCTTGTGATTTATATCTTTATTGTCAATGAAAAATGTTGGGTTCTGCTCAGGTAGTGATTAATTTTAGATAAAAAAAATAAGTGAAAAAGTTTTATTTAGGAGACAAATTCAAAATCATTATTTATTATTGCTAATGAGAGGGACAGGGACGCAAAAATAGTGGGCAAAGAAGCAGGACTAAAACTGGATGTAAGAACAATAAGGCTCTACTAATCACAATAATGAAAATTTCCATGATACCTTCCACATTG